TACAAGCCTAACCCCCACATGTTGTCAGCTTGTTCTCTCTCTGTAAGTCTGCCACCAGAGTTGTTGCTGCCCATTTTCTGAATGGCAGTGGCAGTGCAGATCCAGGCCTCACAGCATAGCACTATGACCCTACCCAAAAAGAGACGGATCAGCACATTTTGCTTTCGTACCATACTAGTCCTGGATAAGCCATACATGTTAAAGAAGATAGTGAAGACTTCCGGCAAAGATGGGGGCGTAGCCAGATACATTTTGCCTCCTTGCACAACCAAAAGAAGAAGAACAAAAATTTAAAAACAAAAAATAACCACAACTGCCAGAAAATCAAACTGTACGGAAATCCAACAACCAACGAGTTCAATAAATGTTTATTTAGACCAGTAGGAGGAGCAGAGATGGGCAGCCAGGGTAGAGAGGACACACAGCAAAGTGGCGGCTAGTCGAGCAGCCAGCCCCACATTTGTGTGCAGATAAACCAAAAGTAACAACTGGGGACGAAGACAGACCATTCAACACAGGGTTCCAGCACAGGGAAGTAAAGCCTCAGAATCTCTGATTGAAAAATCCCGTAGAGGTTGACACTGGGAGAGACTCCCAGCCTCACAGGACAGTTCATTGGAGAGACCCACAGGGTCCTAAAACATACACAAACCCCACCCACTGGGAATCAGCACCAGACGGGCCCAATTTGCATGTGGGTAGTGGGGGAAGTGACTGAAAGTCAACTGAGAGCTGAGTAAGCGGCACTGTTTCCTCTTGGACCCCTCCCCCAAAGACAGCATGACAACGCCCTGCCCTGGCAAATACTTAAGGCTTCACCCCTTCCTATGTAACAAATGTGCTGAGACAAGAAAAAGGCTCAAATGAACAGATCAGAGCTCCCAAGAAAATACAATTAAGCGACGAAGAAATAGCCAACCTCTCAGGTGCACAGTTCAAAACACTGGTAATCAGGATGCCCACAGAATTGGTTGAGTATGGTTGCAAAATGGAGGAACAAAGGAAGGCTAAACTAATTGAAATGAAGAGAAATGCACAGGAAACCATTCGTGATGAAAAGGAAACTGGGTCTCAAATCAAGGGAGCAGAAAAAATGACCAAACAGGAAAATATGAAGAAACAAAAATTCAAAAAAATGAGGAGAGGCTTAGGAACCACCAGGACATCATTAAACACTCCAACATCCGAATTATAGGGGTACCAGAAAGGGGAAAGGAACAGCCACCAGTGGAAAACTTATTTGAACAAATAATAAAGGAGAATTTCCCCAATCTGGTAAAGGAAATAGACTTCCAGGAAGTCCAGGAAGCTCAGAGAGTCCCAAAGAAGTTGGACCCAAGAAGGAACACACCAAGGCACATTAGAATTATATTAGCCAAGATTAAAATGAAGAAGAGAATCCTAGAAGCAGCAAGAGCTAAGGGGACAAGTCACCTACAAAGGAGTTCCCATCAGACTGTCAGCTGATTTCTCAAAAGAGACCTTACAGGCAAGAAGGGGCTGGAAAGAAGTATTCCAAGTCATGAAAACCAAAGACCTACAACCAAGATTGCTCTATCCAGCAAAGTTTTCATTTAGAATGGAAGGGCAGATAAAGTGCTTCTCAGATAAGGTCAAGTTCAAGGAGTTCATCATCACCAAGCCCTTATTATATGAAATGTTAAAGGGACTTATCTAAGAAAAAGAAAAAAAATATGAACAGTAAAATGACAACAAACTCACAGTTATGAACAACCACACCTAAAACAAAAACAAACTAAGCAAACAACTAGAACAGGAACAGAGTCACAGAAATGGAGATCACATGAAGGGTTATCGATGCGGGGGGAGGAAGGGGGAATGTAGGGGGAAAGGTACTGGGAATAAGAAGCATAAATGGTAAGTACAAAATAGACAGGGGGAGGTTAAGAATAGAATGGGAGCCCTGGCTGGTGTGGCTGAGTGGACTGAGTGCCAGCCTGTAAACCAAAAGGTTGCTGGTTTGATTCCCAGTCAGGGCACATGCCTGGGTTGCAGGTCAGTTCCCAGCAGGGGACGCATGAGAGGCAACCATACATTGATATTTCTCTCCCTCTCTCCTTCCCTTCCCCTCTAAAGATAAATAAAATCTTTAAAAAAAAAACACGAATGTTTAAAAAAAAAAGAATAGAATGGGAAATGGAGAAGCAAAAAAAAACCGTATGTATAATCCATGGACATGAACTGGGGGAGGGGAGGTGCTGGTGGGAAGCGAGGTGCAGGGCAGAAGAGAATAAAGGGGAGGAAAAAATGGGACAGCTGTAATGGAATAGTCAATAAAATATATTTGGGGAAAAAAGAAATGGAGGGGTGTTTTATTTTATTTTTTAAAATATATTTTATTTAAAAATATATATATATTTTATTAATTATGCCATTACAGTTCTATTTCCCCCCTTCATTCCCCTCCATCCTGCTGGAGGGGGTGTTTTTAATGACCATCAATCTCATAAGTCTCTTAAACAGAAATATAATATCTGAAGTTAAGTTTTTCCTAACCAGTTAAAGCAAACAAAATACTTACATTCCTTTCATTTTTTGTAACTATTTTATCTTCTACTTTTTAAAAATATTTATTTTTAAAGAGAGCAGAAGGAAGAAAGAGGAAGAGACATATCAATGTGTAGAACATCAATTTGCTGAAACTAATTCCAGCCATTTTTTATTTGTAACTCATACAGTTTCACTTCCAATATCTCCAATTTAAATTTTATTCTGCTTTCATAATTACCTCCTTTTGCAATCATGTATTTTTTATACTTCGTTCAGACTTTTAATTCTGGGGGCTCTTTTATATTTTAGTATTCTGTATAAATTTTCTTTCTTTTTAAAAATATTTTTAGAGAGAGGGGAAGGGAGGGAGAAAGAGAGGGAGAGAAACATCAGTGTGTGGTTGCCTTTTGTGTGCCCCCTACTGTGCCCCCTACTGCACAACCCAGTCACGTGCCCTGACTGGGAATTGAACCAGTGACTCTTTTGATTCATAGGCTGGTACTCAGTCCACTGAGCCACACCAGCCAGGGCCTTTTAATTTTTTAAAAATATTTTATTTAAACTTTCTTTTAATTTCAAACTTAGAGAAAGGCCACAGGAATAGTACAAAGAATTTCTGTTGACCTACCGTGCTCAAATTCCCCAGTTGTCAATATTTCACCACATTTGTTTTACCATTCTCTTTCTCTATTACAGACATATATGCACACATATATAAAATCACTCATATATACCATTTTGTGAATCATTTGAGTGTAAGTTGCAGACCTGATGTTTATAATTGTTTTTAAGCCATTTTTTGATTGTGTATTCTCACGTTAATTTCAACAATGAACCTACCAGCATTAAGCGTCAGTTTGGAAATCCTTATCTTGAAATTTGTGGAATCTTTTCTGATTGGTGTCTCAAGTGCAGGAAAGTTAACCTTTCTTTTAAATACATTTAAACATAAGTACTGTTGCTACAGCCTGCAGAAAGTGGAAGATGGAAGTTTTTCCTCTTCTGCTTCCCATGCTAATTGGGGTAAAGGTCACAATTTTATGGGTCTTTGTTGAGAGGCCTCACTAAGATAACTTAAAAGGGACCAACTACCTCTGTGACCTATTTTAATTGGATACTGTACTTCGAGTGTGTGAAAATTGCAGATTACCTCTTGTGTCTGACAGAACTAACTTACTCTGGAACAAGACGTAAAGGAATTTGCCGGAAGAACTTTTTTTTTTCATATTCTAGGTTCAAAATGAAGTCTTGATGGTAATTATGAGAGAATTAAGTAAGATCTGGCTAGATTAAAATAATCCTTTTTCCAAAGCTAAAGCTCTTTCCTTTGGACAAATGAGCCTCCTTTTTGGGTTCTTAAGCATTCCCCTACTCTTTGGTAAATTCTGCCCTCTCTGTTCTGAATGATGCTGTCATCATCTTGAGCGCTTCACTCAAGATCAGAGACTGAGTAATTTCAGCATTGGGAGAATCTAGTCCTTTGCTGTTCAAAGTGGCCTTTGCTGTACCCAGACTGGCGGAAAACCAGGATCTCAAGCCCTCCCCTCCATGTACTGAATCATAATCTGCATTTGAACAAGATTCCCCGGGTGATTTATGGGCTGTTGTTATACGGATTTGAGGAGTCTATATCATTATTCTTTAGGGAAATGGTCAGGCTTTTGTTAGTTTCTACAAAGATGCCCTCCTTCAGCATCCTGAAAACCAAGTGGGTCATGTAGAGCTTTCTCTGTGGGCAGTCCTTATAGATCTGAACCAGTTTCTTGCTCAAGGAAAAGAAAGAATAGGTTAGGTTAATGGAAATTTCCACATCACTTCTTTTCCTCCTTATCTCTGCAGGAGAGTTGAAAATCTTTAGCTTTTTTTTTTTTTTGCAGGTGTTTGGATGTGCTAGACAGAAACATTTTTTCTTTCTTGGCAGGTGATTAATAATACTGTACCGAATAAACTAAAACAGAATAGCACATTTTCTGAGACTGCAAAACTATTTTGTAAATTGCTTCTTGTTCCACTTACTATACCACAAAGTGCATTACTATGAGGATGCAAATTGTTAATGTGATGTTAAAGATTTGTTCTGAATATAAAAGCTGTCTGTTAACAAACTGCTCTCTACTTAGGATTGGGGCTGGAAATAATGCCTGAAAGAACTTGATACGATCAAAGTTTTGTTTACTCTCTGCCACTCCCCAAGGAAACTCATTAAAAAAAAATCTTGTTAGAGAGACAGGAAGGGAGGGAGAGAAACATCGAACCTGGTTGCCTCTTGCACACCCCTACCTGGGGACCTGGCCTGCAACCCAGGCATGTGCCCTGATCGGGAATTAAACCAGTGACCTTTCGGTTCACAGTATGATGCTCAGCCCACTGGGCCACACCAACTGGTTTTAAAGGAATGGATTGACAGTGCCTAGGGGAAGATTGTTATGAATGACTAGGATGCAGCTGGAGAATACCTCAAATAAAAATACTCTTTCTCTGTCCACCAGATACAAACGAGCCATTGGTAGTAATAGCTCAGCCCTCATCGGAAATGCCACATTTGACCCCAACTAATGAATTTCATACTAAAATGATGACACCAATTCATGACAAGGAGGATGTAAAGACTTCATCTAAGTGTTACATACAGGTCACTGGTATGACCTGTGCTTCCTGTGTAGCAAACATTGAACGGAATTTAAGACGAGAAGAAGGTGAGACACTCATAAAGCCTGTTGTTTTATATTCTAGTTTGAGGACTCTGTCCTTTCCTATGCGTTTTGTTACCATGTCTGTGATTCTTGCCAAGAAGACCTCATAAACCCTATCAGTGACATTCAGAACAACCTTGGCTTTCTGACAGCTGCTTGTTGTTAGTGTTTTGTTCCCTTAGATATAGCTCCTATCTCGTTTGCTTCAAGAGCACATTTTAATATGAATGACATTTGTAGGGCAACAGCAGAAGGAAATACATAATATTAGTATTCTTTATGATTTTGGCTGCAATGTATTTTAAGAAGCATACAAATTTCCTGATAAAGCTATGTTTAAAACTAATAAGTGGATTCCATAAATTTTAGTATTATTATACCCGGCCCATGAACGAGACAAAACCAAAGTTTGTTTAGAATTGTAGGGGTGGGCAAAAGTAGGTTAAATTACCAGCCATCATTATCTAAAAGATAAATCATAAGTAAGGGTATAAAGTAATAACAATAATAAGAAAACAAATAATACAAATAAATAACAGTAATTAATGAGTAATACAAGAATAAACTGTTTCGAGTACACACAGCTGTAAACCTATTTTTGCCAACCCTGTATATTCTCTTCCGACAATTTGATCTTTGCTTGCAGTAAAAGTGATCAAAAGTTACTTAATATTATGTGCAAATTTTAATCCGAGGTTATAAAATCTTAGAAATTCTACATTATTTATGATCGTTGGAGTGCATAGGTTCTTATGGATTGGTGTTTCAGGGTTCTTAGGATATAATCCCAGCAGTGGAATTGCTGGGTCAAAAGGCAGTTCCATTTTTAGTTTTCCGTGGAATGTTTTAGGTTACAAATTTACATTCATATTACTACACAGTATGACATAGTAGATTTGTTAACCATGGAGATGTGTGATTATGTTTAGTGAGACTGAAGTGATAGGCTTAGGACTTAGGTAGCCCTAGCCCCAGATGTTGTAAAGATATATGTGGTTAGTTATAAGGCCCAAATAAGTAAGATTAGTATAAGCTTATCCCTACTATTGGCGAAGTAACTCAAAACATATATGGTAGTAATGTAGGCTTCTGGCCAGTAGAATCGCCTAATATATAAAGGCCAAAACATTGTAACCAAATGTATGTTATACAGAGCCATCTTCATTTCAATGTCATCTTGCCTTCATTCTTTCATTTCTGCATCTTTCATTTCAGCCGCCATTACATCTAATTAAAATGCAGTCAAGGCTAAAGCTTATATTACACTTTGACTGAAAAAGAAAAAATGGAAGGTTGCAAGCAAATGAAAGTGAAAAGTTGTCTCTGAGGTTCCTGTTTAATTTTATGGTCACGTATTTTGGAGCAACTCAGAAATAGCCTTTTTCATGAGACAAGCAATGCCTGCGCGAATTACAAATCTTTTATTTAAAGATTTTATTTTTATTTATTTATTTTTAGAAGGGAAGAGAGGGAGAAAGAGAAGGAGGGAAACATCAATCAGTTATCTCTCCTACATGCCTTGACAGGGGACTGAACCCAGAACCCAGGCATGTGTTCTGACTGGGGATCAAACCAGTGACCTTCTGCTTTGCAGGATGATGCCCAACCTGCTGAGACACACTGGTCAGGGCTACAAATCTTTCTGTAAAAAAAATTTGTTAAGCTGATTCTCCCAGTTACTTTGTATTACCCCTTTACCACCTTTTCACCCAATTAGGAATATCATTGGCCTAGCTTGGGTGACCACATTGACCTTTTGGTTTTTTAAACCAGGTAACACTGGTCTTCACATTACATTTCTAAAAACAGAGACAAAGACTTCTGATTATAGTTTGAAGTAAGAATTTTTTAAAGATTTCATTTATTTTTAGAGAGGGGAAGGGAGGGGGGAAGAGAGGGAGAGAAACATCAATGTGTGGTCGCCTGTTGTGCGTCTCTACTGGGGTCCTGGCCCACAACCCAGGCATGTGCCCTGACTGGGAATTGAACCAGCAACCTTCTGGTTCATAGGCTGGCACTCAATCCACTGAGCCACACCAGCCAGGGCTGAAGTAAGAATTTTTAAAAATTATCCATAATTTATGTAAGTTTGAAACCTGTTTTTGAAACTTAAAATCAGAATTTCCTTTGTATTTCTGTTTGGCTATAGATTACATTCAACCAAATCAAAAAGATCTTTTCTTACTTTCTCTGTCCTCTTCTTAGTGACACTTTCCCGTGAACTGTTCCTCTGAATTATTAGCCCAGAGGAGCACTTTATATGGAAAGCTTAGATTATATGAAGTACTTTTTCTTATGAAAAAGTATTAAAGATTCAGTTATTTTTTTCCTTTGTATCACCACGCCCCCCCCCCCCCCCCCGAGCTGACTTACTAACTGCTAACCCTCATTCCCTGTCAGCTAGCCACCAAGTGCCACAGATTCCTAGAAAGAGCTGCCATTTCTCCTGTGTGTAATTAATTCTGGCCTGGAGAAGAAGAACGCTTGTTAACAAAAGACTTTCACCAGAGCACAGCGTGACAGTCATAAAATGAACTCCATTGTTCTGCTTCCGAGTTGTGTGGCAGTTCTTCATTCGAGGAATAAGAGCACTTTAGATTAGTGTGTGCCAGACAGGAAAACTTGAGAATTTTAAGAAATGACTATTATTTGATAATTTTATAATGTGTATGTTGGCACTTCCTTGGATTTTTTGCTACAACTGCAGTGGTTTCCTATGTTCATAGGTTCCTTTCTCTAGGACTCTCTCATTAGTTTCTAAAAATGCTTTATATTTACATAATAAGATCTCAACTGATTGCAAGTCATGGGCCTACTTCAAACAAAAAAAAATCTGTGTTAAATGAACTAATAAACAGTTATAAGACACTTGTGGAAATGTGAATGTTGCCTGGATAATTGATGATATTGAAGAATGATTTTAGGTATGATAATGGTATTGTGGTTATTTTTAAAGAGAACAATACCTTTTAAAAATATTTTATTGTTATTCTAGTACAGTTGTCTCAGATTTCCTCCCTTTACTTTCCTCTGCCCATCCCAGCCTCCACTCCCACAGTCCATCCCCACCCTGTTGTCCATGTCCGTGGGTCATTTATACATGTTCTTGGTCTAGTCCCTTCTCCTTCTTTCTACCATTACCCCCTCCCCCCATAGAAATATATATTTAAACATTTACAAGGGAAATATGATATCTGGGATTTGAAAGTAATCAGGGTAGAGGGCAGGGATTACTTGGCTAGGAATATAAATGAAACAAGATCAGCCTGGTATTATTGATAGCTGTTAAACTGTTGAAGCTGGGTAATCAGTATATCAAGTTTATTATGTTCTTTTGTGTGTGTATATATACATATGTATAAAATTGAAAAATTGCTTAATAAAAATTTTAAGAAATTAAGGCCCTTTTTTCAAATAGTTTTATTTGGTTTAGGCTTAACACTATATAAAAGTTAACTAACCCATTTCTCCACATTCACTTTAATCCTTTCACAGTTAAGTGGAAAACAATATTAGTACATTACTTTTTATAATTTTCATTTTATTTATTGTTTGATTTTATTTATTTATTTTCAGAAGGAGAAGAAAGGGAGAAAGAGAAGGAGAGAAACATCAGTGTGTGATTGCCTCTTGTGAGCCCCCCACTGGGGACTTAGCCCACAGCTCAGGCATGTGCCCTGACTGGGAATCGGACTGGCAGCCCTTTGGGTTTCAGGCTGGTGCTCAATACACTGAGTGACACCACCCAAGGCTATCTTTTAATTTTTAATTTTTAATTATTTTTAGAGATTTTATTTATTTATTTTTAGAGAGGGGAAGGGAGGGAAAAAGAGAGGGAGAGAAACATCAATGTGTGGTTGCCTCTTGCGTGTCCCTTACTGGGGACCTGGCCCACAACCCAGGTATGTGCCCTGACTGGGAACTGAACCGGCAACCCTTTAGTTCACAGGCTGGCACTCAGTCCACACCAGCTAGGGCCATTACTGGTTTTTTTTTTTAAATAAGGAGTTTTATCTGAATTGTTTTTCTCATCAATGCTCCTAGGAATATATTCTGTACTGGTGGCTCTGATGGCTGGCAAGGCAGAAGTAAGATATAATCCTGCTGTTATACAACCCCCGATGATAGCTGAGTTCATCCGAGAGCTTGGATTTGGAGCCACTGTGATAGAAAATGCTGATGAAGGGGATGGTGTTTTGGAACTTATTGTAAGTAACAATTTTAGTGTAATTAATAAAATTTCGAGACAATTTTAATGAGAATTGAGAGAAGAGTTCCAAAAATAGTTAAAGTTGGAAAGATGAGACATAAAAGGAAAATTAAGGGAGCTTGAAAATGGTAAGATAGGACTTCATGGTGACTTTCAAGCATGGAATGTAAAAGATAATCGTGATATCTCTATTAGAAACCAAAAAAGAAGAATTGGGTTAGAATGAATAAATGAAAATCAAGTTTTAAAAATATAATAAGATTCTTACCTATGACATGTAAAAGAATAAGTTCCATAAGATTGTAGTTATTTACTTATGGAGGGGGGAAGGGGAGAGAAAGAGGGTGAGAAACATCTATGTGGGAAACACTGATAGGTTGCCTCTCACTCGCCTCCTACTGGGGATCTGGCCGGCAACCCAGGCATCTGCCCTGACTAGGAATCAAATGGTGTCCTTTCAGTTCACAAGCTGGCACCCAGTCCACTGAGACACACCAGCCAGGGCTTCTCTAGTTGTTTTTGACACAGTTTTCCAGAGGAAAAGGCTTTTGCACCCACTGAACTCCAGTCAGGGCAAGTGGAATATTTCATAGAACCCTCAGATAGTTCAAATAATGAAAGTCTGCTGATAAAGAGGCTTTGAAGAAGCTACAACCCTTTTTGCCCATTCTGGTGGCGTTTGATGCTGTTTTTCACCAGGATTGTGAGCTGGTGGTCTTCATGTCAATCACAGAGCTGGAGGGAAGGGGCAGTTATAATGCCACATAGGTTGCTGTTTTATTGAGATTCATCTGATTTTCTTTTATTTCATCCTCACCCAAGGACATGTGTCCATTGCTTTTAGAGAGAGGAAAGGAGAGAGAGAAACACTGTTGCAAGAGAAAAGCATGGACAGGTTGCCTCCTGCACATGCCGTGGAACCGGGGATCAATCCTGCAACCTAGGCATGCGCCCTGACCAGGAATCAAACTCACAACCTTTCAGTTTGGGGATGAAGCCCCAACCAATTGAGCCACACTAGTCAGGCAGGGCTGATCTCATTTTCTTGAAGAAATGCTTCCTGTCTTGCTCAAGCTTTTAAATACCAAATTTCTGAGAAAGTTTATTTTAACCATTTTGTCAGTTTTCTTATTACTTTTATGAAGGATATAGTTTTTTAGAGATCCTTGCTGATATGACCATAATAGGTATCCTTGAATAAATGTTTTGTGATTTGTTGTATACTCTTCAGTCACTTCTCAGAGTATTTCAATGTTTTTTTTTTAACTTTTCTATTACAGTTTACTTTCAGTATTATTTTCTGTTGGTTTCAGGTGTATACCATAGTGGTTAGATAATCATATACTTTAGTGTTCTCCCTGTATATCCAGTACCCACCTGGTACTATATTTAGTTATTATAGTATTAGTGACTATATTCCCTATGCTGTAATTTATATCCCTGTCACTATTCTGTAACTACCAATTTGTACTCCTTAATCCCTTTACCTCTTTCATCCAGTCCCCCACATTCCTTTCTTCTGGTGACCATCAGTCTATGTCACTCTGTGTCTGTGAGTCTGTTTCAATTTTTTTGTTCATTTATTTTGTTCTTTAGATTGCACATATAAGTGAAATAAAGTGATGATTATTTTTCTCTAACTTATTTCACTGAGCACAATACCCTCTAGGTCTATCTATGCTGTTGCAAATGGTAAAGTTCCATTCTTTTTTATGGCTGAGTAATATTCCATTGTGTAAATGTACCACTGCTTTTTTACCCACTCATCTACTGACACTAGTGTTGCTTTCATGTCTTGGCTTTTATAAATAACTCTGCAGTGAACACAGGGATGCATATATTCATTTGAATTAATGTTTTGGGTTTCTTCAGATAAATTCTCAGAAGTGGAATTGCTGGGTAATAAGGGAGCTCCATTATTAATTTTTTAAAAAAATATTTTATTTATTTATCTTTAGAGAGGAAGGGAAGGAGAGAAGTAGAGAAATATCAATATATGGTTGCCTCTCATGAGTCCCCTGCTGGGAATTGGCCTGCAACCTAGGTATGTGCCCTGACTGGGAATCGAGCCATGATCGTGTGGTTCGCAGGCCCGCGCTCAATCCACTGAGCTACACCAGCCAGGGCCCATTATTAATTTTTTCAGGTATCTCCATACTGTTTTCCATAGTGGCTGCACCAGTCTGCATTCCCACCAACAGTGTATGAGGGTTCCCCTTTCTGCACATCCTGGCCAGCACTTGTTGTTTGTAGATTTGTTTATGATGGCCGTTCTGACAGGTGTGATGTGATATCTCACTGTAGTGTTAATTTGCATCTCTGTGATGACAAGTGATATTGAATATCTTTTCATATGTCTATGGGCCCTCTGTATGTCCTCTTTGGAGAAGTGTCTATTCAGGTCCTTTGTCCATTTTTTAATTGAATTGTTTACTTCTTGGGTGTTGAGCTCTATGTGTTCTTTATAAATTTTGGATAGTAACCCCTTATCAGATAGATCATTGATGAATATCTACTTTTATTCAGTGGGTTGTCTTTTCATTTTGATGATGATTTTCTTTCCTTCATAAAAACTTTTTAGTGTAAGGTAGTCCCATTTGTTTTTTTTTTTTTTTTTTTTTAAGATAGGGAACATTTAAAAAACTTTTTATTTTGAAATAATTTGAATATTAACAAAAAGTTGCAAATATGATACAAAGAACTCCCATATATCCTTTGCCCAAATTTCCCAGATGTTAACATTTAGAAACACTTGATTTATCAAACAAGAGTTTTTTTTAATTGATTATGCTGTTACAGTTGTTCTATTCCCCCCTTCATTCCCCTCCACCATACCCCCCCATCCCCACCATTACCCCCCTTTAGTTTATGACCATGTGTCTCAAGTCCTTTAGATTCTATATTTCCCATGCTATTCTTGCCCCCCCCATCTATTTTCTATCTACTGTCTATGCTACTTATTTTCTGTACCTTCTCCCCCCATCTCCTCCTCCCACTCCCCTGTTGCTAACCCTCCTTGAGATCTTCATTTCTATGTTTCTACTCCTGATCTAGCTGTCCTTTTAGTTTGCTTTCGTTTTAGGTGTGGTTGTTAATAACTGTGAGTTTGTTGTCCTTTCACTGTTCATGTTTCTTTAACTTCTTTTTCTTAGATAAGTCCCTTTAACATTTCATATAATAAGGGCTTGGTGATGATGAACTCCTTGAATTTGATCTTATCTGAGAAGCACCTTATCTGTCCTTCCATTCTAAATGAAAGTTTTGCTGGATAGAGCAATCTTGGTTGTAGGTCTTTGGATTTCATGACTTGGAATACCTCTTTCCAGCCCCTTCTTGCCTGTAAAGTCTCTTTTGAGAAATCTGCTGACAGTCTGATGGGGACTCCTTTGTAGGTGACTGTCCCCTTAGCTCTTGCTGCTTCTAGGATTCTCTCCTTCATTTTAATTTTGGCTAATGTAATTATGATGTGCCTTGGTGTGTTCCTTCTTGGGTCCAACTTCTTTGGGACTCTCTGAGCTTCCTGGATTTCCTGGATGTCTATTGCCTTTGCCAGATTGGGGGAAATTTTCCTTTATTATTTGTGCAAATACGTTTTCCACTGGTGGTTGTGCCTTTCCCCCTTCTGGTACCCCTATAATCCGGATGTTGGAGCGTTTAAAGATGTCCTGGAGGTTCCTAAGACTCTCCTCATTTCTTTGAATTCTTGCTTCCTGACTCTTTTCTGTTTGGCCATTATTTGCTTTCTTCTGGTCCACTCCATTGATTTGAGTCCCAGTTTCATTTTCATCGCTATTGGTTTCCTGTGCAATTCCGTTCATTTCAATTAGTTTCGCCTTCATATGTTTCTCTAATTTGTGGCTATAATCAACCAGTTCTGTGAGGATCCTGATGACCAGTGTTTTAAACTGTGCGTCTGAGAGTTTTGCTATTTCTTCATCACTTAGATCTATGGGCTCTGGGGCTTTGAGATCTTGCGACATTTTTGGTCTGTTCTGGCCCTTTAAGTGTGAGAAGCGGTGCCTTGGACTCCCAGGTCGCTGGGTTGTGACGCTGTATGTGGGGGCGTGGTCAGAGCGGGGAAATGGCGGCGCCCTTCACTGCCACTTGCCGCGGGGACCCACCGGGCCCGGTCCAACTGCCCACTCCCTCGCCTGACTGCCCGTGCACAAATGCACGACCACAGTCAACACGCAGCACCACTCCCCCGCTGTCTCCTCCCGGTCGCTCGCCTGGTCACTTGCTCGGTCGCTCACTAGGTCCAACCCTGCGCCTGGATTCCGCGAGTCTGGATTCAGCGAGTCTGGATTCCGCGCCTGAGCCAGTCTGACCGAGTCCTCCTGTGCAACCCCGCTCCACCAGCCACTGGTTTCGCCCCTTACCAGTCAGGCTGAAGAATTTGTTGTTAACGGACTTCTGAAAAGTTCAATTTTCCGTGTTCTGGCTGTGATTTCTGTTGCTAATATTTAGTTGTCCCTAAACTTGGTTGTGTGAGAAGGCACGGCACATCCACCTATACCTCCATCTTGGCGGAAGTCCAGAAGAGTTTTAGAGTGTACAGCTCTCTCAGTTGTTGACACGCGTCAGCCGCGCCTCAATCTCACGTGTGAATTCCTGGGTGTTAGGCTCCAGTCCCTGGAGTCTCCGGAGTTGCCCGCGCTTTTCCTAGAAAGCTACGGATCAGACTATAGAGGGTGAGGGCCAGAGTACAGCCAATCCTCTCCAGCGCCGGTGCTCTTCTTGGAAGCCCGACCCCTCGATCCCTCCCCGGGCCCAGGTAAACCTGCGGCCCGACTCCTGCTTGCCCTTCCGCTGCGACGAACCCCCCACGATTCTCCCATTTGTTTATTTTATTTTTGTTTCCCTTGCCTGAGGAAATAATCAGAAGAATATATTGCTAAATGAAATGTCCGAGATTTTACTGCCTGTTTTGTTCTAGGAGTTTTATGGATTAGTGTTACATTTAAGTATTTAATCCATTTTGAATTTGTTCTTGTATATGTTGTGAGAGGTGTAGTTTCATTTTTTTGCATGTAGCTATCCAATTTTTTTCCAGCACCATTTTTAATAGTTGTTTGTGGAAACTTTCCTCCAGTTTTATCATTGCTTTTTAGGGGAAATGAATTGATGAGCTCCTTACACACTCATTCCAAATTTCTGGTCCCATGACTTTAGAATTTAGTGTCCAACTAAACTGTATATAATGTCAACCAACACAAAGGGCAAAATATATTTTTAGACACATGTAGAGCACTTTTATCTTCCATTAACCTTCACTGAAAGCAATATTAATAGTTACATGATTTTAGCATAATGAAAAACTATACAGAGGGAAGCAAGGCATTGAATACAAGAAACAGTGAGCCCTGGTTGGCTAGTACAGGTGGTTGGAGCGTTGTTCTGATATACTAAGGTTGCAGGTTCAATCAACAGTCAGGGCACATAACAAGAATCAACCCATGAAAACATAAATAAGTGGAACAACAAATCGATCTCCCCCCCCCCACTTTCCTCTCTCTAAAATCAATCAATAAAAAAGAAGCAATGATTTGTCAAATTCTCTACAAGAAGTAGTGACAAAAGAGGAAGACTTTTCATGACATCCTTTTCTGTGTAATCTGTGGTAGCTGGACTATATCCTTGTTCAGTGTGGTATAAAAGTGTCCTAATGATGGTATCTAAAGCATAATTCTCATACAGAAAGGTCTTGTGTGACTATCCTATGTTGCAACAGTTATTTTAATTTAAAGTAATAACTTATGTTTAATGGAGGAAAAATTATATTTCTGAATAACAATGCGTTTGTCGTTAACAGGTGAGAGGAATGACGTGTGCATCCTGTGTACATAAAATAGAATCTACCCTCACAAAGCACAGAGGGATTTTCTACTGCTCTGTGGCCCTGGCAACCAACAAAGCACATATTAAATATGATCCAGAAATTATTGGTCCCAGAGATATTATCCATACAATTGAAGTAAGTGCCACTTTCTTTGTTCTTGCCTGTTTAGTCAGCACACCTTTGGATTGCTTCTGGTTTGTATCAGATAGAGGGAATGAAATAATCTTTGGTTACTCTAGACATCGTCTGTCTCAAAATGTAATGCAAACGTGTCTGCCCTTTTTTGGTATTTGTCAGGGAGAGTCAGGCAAAGGGATACTGGTGCTGTAAATCAGGAGCAGATTTAAAGTAGAGATACACCATATTCAAAAAGTATTTAGAAAATGTAACTGAAATACAGTTTGTTATGAGTAAGATTTATGTCGATCATTAGGAAGTGAGGCATTCTGCTAGATGCTTTATTGTTTGTTAGGTCAAAGCAAATGATGTATTTTTATGGTAAAGTAAGAAATTTAAAAGACCAAACCCTTTTCTTTGTGATAAATTCATCTTGTGTTCTTCAGGATGTCTTAAGTGGTAGCACATGAGGAAGCGCTTTAAAAATTTTAATATCAGCCCTGGCTGGTGTGATTCAGTGGATTGAGTGCCAGCCTGCAAACCAAAGGGTTGCCGGTTTGATTCGCAGTCAGGGCACGTGCCTGGGTTGCGGGCCAGGTCCCCAGTAGAGGGCGTATGAGAGAAAACCACACATTGATGTTTCTCTCCCTCTCTTTCTTCCTCCCGTCTCCTCTGTCTAAAAATAAATAAATAAATAAATACATAAATACATAAATAAATAAATAAAATCTTTTTAAAATAAGTTTTAATATCATATACCATTGGGGTTCTGGTGATCTGCAGGGGTATCCAACCTTTTGATGTAAGTACCTTTTTGGGTAAATACCCAGGAGAGGCAATGCTGGGTCATATGATAACTCTTCGTAATTTTTTGAGGAACTGCCACACTGTCTTCTATAGTGGCTGTACCACTTTACATTCCCACCAGCAGTGGGTGAGGGTTCCTTTTCTCCACAATCTCTCCAACACTTGTTTTAACCTGTCTTCTTAAGAATAGCCATTATCACAGGTGTGCAGTGGTGTCTCATTGTAGTTTTGCTTGGCATTTCCCTAAGAGCTCGTGAAGTTGAGCATCTTTTCATATATCTGTTTGTATGTCATCTTGGGAGAAGTGTCTGTTCAAGTTCTCTGCCTATTTTTTAAGTGGGTTGTTTGGTGTTGAGTTTTCTGAATTCTATTAACCCTTTTTAGAGCTGTTGTTTGCAAATAATCATCTCCTGTTGGGTTGTTTGCCTTTTTATTATATTTTATTGATTCTGCTATTACAGTTGTCCTGATTTTCCCCCCTTTGCCCCCTCTCATCCAGTGCACCCTGCTCCGTCACGCAATCCCCGCACCATTGTTCATGCCCTGGGTCATGCATTATAACATCTTTGGCTACTCCATTTCCTATACTGTAATTTACACCCTTACGGCTATTCTGCAACTACCTATTTGTACTTCTTAATCACCTCACCTCTTCACCCATTCTCCTCCCCCCTATCTGGCAGCCTTCGAGTAACTAACTACTTTTCTCTTATTTTCAAGAATCTCTATCTTTAACCTTTGGCATCTTTGCACCCATCATAATTAGGACTCTCTGTGCTTCCTAGACTTGCATGTCTATTTCCTTCACCAAATTAGGAAAGTTTCCTGTAACTATTTTTTCAGAGAGATTTCCAGTTTCCTGCTCTTCTTTTTTTGGCACCCCTATCAGGTGAATGTTGGGCTTCTTAAAGTTGTCTCAAGACTGTCCTCATTTTTTAAAATTCTTTTTACTTCTTGTTGTTCTGTCTGGTTGTTTTTTGCTTCTTTATGTTCCAATTTACTGATTTGATTTTCAGCTTCATCCATTCTACTATTGTTTCCCTGTAAATCGTTCTTTCCTTCAATTAGTGTATCCGTTGTTTCTCACTGAGTCTTTTTTCGGCTGCTAAGCTCACTAAATTCCTTGAGCATCCTTATAAACAGTCTACATCTGATAGATTGCTTATCTCCATTTCATTTAGCTCTTTTTCTGGAGTTTTGATCTGTTCTTTCATATGGGCCATGTTTCTTTGTCTCCTCATTTTGGCAGCCTCCCTGTGTTTGCTTCTATGTATTAGGTAGAGCTGCTTTCACTCCCTCTCTTGATAGTGTGGCCTGATGTAGAAGGTGTCCTGTGGGGTCCAGTGGCACAGCCTCCCCTATCACCCAACCTGGGTACTCAAGGTTCATCCTTTGTGTGGGCTGAGTACACCCTCCCCCTGTAGTTGAGCCTTGGTTGCTATTGCCAGATCAATGGAAGGGATTTACCCAGGCCAGTCAGCTGCAAGGACTGGCTGTGACCACTGACCACCACCCTCCACCCTCCATGGAGGATCAGCCGTGCAGGGGAAGGGTGGTGGTGCTCCGATGTGGTCTGTAGTTGCCCACTGGGTGCGCTGGCTGTGGGGTTTCCCGGGTGGTACAGGCCAAGGTCAGTCCCCACCTATGTGTCTCCTGGACTACCCTGCCTGAGCCTTAAAAAGCAATCTGAGATGGCTGCTACTTGTACTGGGCTTGTAGATTCTCAGGCAAAGCCAAGCTGTGAATCTAGGCTGGCTGCTGCTAGTGCTGGATGGGTCTGGGGCTCACTGAAGCCAACTGTTGCTTGTTTGATAATGATTTCGGAGCCAAGGCCAGCGATTCTTGTGGAAAAGCATCTTGGGTGTGGTAGAGCCTCTGTGGATCTCCATAGTGGGTCACACAGTGTTAGCCAGGTTGATGGAGTCTCAGATATGGCACCTGTTACCGGCTCTGGGTGTGTGTGGGGGAGGGGCTCAGAAAAGGAACAATGGCTTTTGCCCACCCCGATGCCAGACACTTCAGTCTCTCCCTGTGCACCACTGGTGCTCTTCAAGCTGCTACCTGGTACTGGAGCTCAGTGGGAGCAAGTCTGAGTAGGTGAGTCCATGTGTGGGTTCCCCAAGAGGAGCTACTGAGGCCTCAGCTGCCTTCTCCACCAACTCAATCCCCGCTGGTTTTTGCATCTGCGAGTTGTGGGGACTTATCTTCCTGGCACTGGAACCCTGGGCTGGGGGGCCTGGGGTTAGGGCTGGGACTCCTCACTCCTGAGAGATCCCTCCCGAATTTTTATCCGCATTGCTGTGGGACCAGCCTGTTCCGTGTCTGCGCCCCCTCCTACCAGTCTGGATGAATGTGGTTTCTTTAATTCCATAGTTGTCAGACTCATTCAGCTCGATTTCTGGTGTTCCTGAGTGATGGTTGTTCTGTATTTTAGTTGTAATGTTGATGTGGTTGTCCAAGGAGGCGAGCCGTGTCTGCCTACGTCACCATCTTGACCAGAAGCCTGCCCTAGCTATTTTTGAGGCGAAGCCCCAGTGAGTGAAGGTGACAGATGGGACTCCCTTCTTTTCTCTAGCCCCTCTCATGGAATGGAGGCTCTACTTGGGTGTCGTGGGCCGGGAAGGCTGAGGCCCTAATCACTGTCACCCCAGGTCACGAAGTGGTGGTTCTAAGCTAGAAGACCTCAGGCTGCTGAGGCTGCTGCCACTCCCTGCACTGAGTGCTGAGCTCCAACCCACCACGTGCTGCAGAGCACTGGCTCCCATCTTTCCTGGCAGAAGAAGCAAACCATGAAGCAGCTGCTAGTCTCTTCCCAAAGGAACTAAAGGTATAGCGGACCCAAGAATGCTCTTAAGAACAGTGGTGGCTGTGGTCAAAGGCAAGTGAGAGGAGACACAAGAAGCAGACTGCACTGTGGCAGGCTCGTTTGCAGGACACAAGCAGCGAGTAAGACGTTTTGAAGGATCCTTCCCAAGGTCAGAACGCGTATCAAGCGGTGGCCTCAAAAACATTCGTTTGTAGAGCAACTTATGGCACAGGGCACTGGGGAAACAGTTGAGCAGTCAGTCAGTGTGTAATAAGTGATTTTGCAGCTGGGTGCAGTCAGCGAAAGAGAGGCGGAGATCCCTTTCCAAACCTGTCATCCCAGGTGACTAGGGGCATACCAGAGCTCAACCTGCTTGAGGAGCAACTTAGACTCTTCACACGAGGGGGGAGAAAGACCTCGCTAAAATAATCCAGCCAGCCAATGGATTATTTTACAAACAAACAAGCAAATAGCAGTAACAAGCCCTGGGTGCGAGGGGCCAGTACCCAGCATGGCAGAATATTATTTAAAATATGTAAGGTTCCTACAGAACAGTCATGAGACACAGAAAAGGCAAATGGCTAAAGTAAACACAACCACATAAACGACATGAATATGAATGCATTAAACAATATAGTTAGAAGGTAGATATGGTGCCTTGGCCCATGTGGCTTAGTTGGGCGTTGTCCCGGAAATGAAAGGTTGCAGGCTCAATTCCCAGTCGGGGCACACACCTGGGTTGCAGGTTTGGTTTGTTTTGGGGTACGTGTGAAAGGCGCCAATCACTATTTCTTGCACTCACATTTCTCTGTGTCTCCTTCTTCCCTTCCCCTCTCTGTAAAAATAAACATGAAAAAATCGTACTCTTCCCCCAATATTATTTATGAATTTTGCATTCCTTCTATATTGATTGCAAGTGTTAGTTTAATCAAATACTCAATTCCTATATATACCTATGTGTTCTGGGTTCTTTATTGTTTTAGTGAAATATTTGAACAAGTCTGGTGCTAAACATAGTGTTTTAACTATTATAACTTTAGAGTGTACTGATATCTGAGAGGGCAAACTGTTCCTCATTGTTAGTTTAAAATTCCTTGGTTTATGTAGTACATTTTCTCTTGTTGGTAAATTTAAGTGTTTAAGTTTTAATATTTTTCTCCATGTCTCTAAATAATATTTGTTCCTTGGTGTTTCAATTTAAGGAATTGTTCACTGATACATCAGCATCGGGTTAAGAAGATTTAACTTTTCCCTCCTCTCTTCTTTCTCACACCACACACAAAAGCCTTCTGAACTCCCATCCTCCCTATGAACTCTGCCCTTCCAAGCACCATCTTCTCTTCATCTCTTCACAACCCAGCCTGGTGGAAAACGTGTTTGCCCTCTTCCTCCTGGTGCACTAACT